AATTCCCAGCGGGTTCTGCCGCACCCCAACGCACAGCCTTGGAAACTGGGATCGGGAATGACCCCTGGGATCATCCCGGGATCCCCCAAGTGGGATCTGAACCATCACCCTCTGTGCCTGAAGCCGAGCCTGCCCATTCCCTAAATCCAGGATGGATCAGGGATCACTGAACCTGCTCATTCCCTAAATCCAGGATGGATCAGGGATCACTGAACCTGCTCCTTCCCTAAATCCAGGATGGATCAGGGATCATTGAACCTGCTCCTTCCCTAAATCCAGGATTGATCAGGGATCACTGAACCTGCTCATTCCCTAAATCCAGGATGGATCAGGGATCACTGAACCTGCTCCTTCCCTAAATCCAGGATGGATCAGGGGTCACTGAACCTGCCCATTCCCTAAATCCAGGATGGATCAGGGATCACTGAACCTGCTCATTCCCTAAATCCAGGATGGATCAGGGGTGACTGAACCTGCCCATTCCCTAAATCCAGGATGGATTAGGGGTGACGATATTCCCAAAGCCGGGATCTCAGAGCAGCAGTGGGGAGGCAACACGTGGCACAAGCACGGAGCCGGGAGCTGTTCCCACTGCTGGAACACCGGGATATTTCCTGCCTGGGCCGGGTTTCCAGGAGGGCACGGAGACCGCCTCAAGGATTTACACTGGAAAAACCGCCCTGGCTGGATTCCTGCTGCTCCCGTCCGACCCCAAAGCTCCTCTGCAGGGAATGAAAGCCGTTCCTTAAAACCATTCCCTGTTTTTGGTGATGCCAGTAGTGCGGGATCTATCCCTCCATGGGATAAATTTGGAGGGGAGGAATTGAGGGATGGACGGTTCAGTGGAACAAAAGCTGTGCCAGGAGCCCAGAAAAGGCAGGGAGGGGTCAGCTGTGCCCGGTGCCAGCCGCAGATCCTGCAAAAAGCAGGAATTCCAGGGGCATTCCTGGGAGTGCTGCCCTTCCCGAGGGCAGGAGTGGTGGGGGGATGTCTGGCACAAGGGCTTTTCCCGGGATCTGCAGGAGGAGGGAAAAGCATCCAAAGAAGCTGAGAACAGCCCAGATCCCTCCCCGGAGATCTCCGGGCATTGGGAAGCCCGGCCCGCCCCTCTCCTGAGCGGAACCATCCCGGCTTTTCTTCATCTTAAAGCAACAAATCCTTGGGAGGAACCGGGCGGTTCCGCACAGCCCCGTCCCGGGGATCCCAGCTCAGCTCCCGGGGATCCCAGCTCCATTCCCGGGGATCCCAGCTCAGCTCCCGGGGATCCCAGCCCCGTCCCGGGGATCCCAGCTCAGCTCCCGGGGATCCCAGCTCCATTCCCGGGGGGATCCCAGCTCCCCTCTCTCTCCCATCCCGGCTGTTCCCAAAGCTCGGCAGGTGAGGAAAAGCCCCGGCACAGACTCACCCCGCCTCATCCTGCCGGGAGCGCCAGCGGAGCCGCTCCCGGTCCGGATGGGATAGGGAAGGGTGGGATCGATCGGGATGGGACCGGGATGGGATCGGGATGGGATCGGGATGGGATCGGGCCGGGACCGGCAGCAGCCGGAGCGGAGCAGCCGCCGCAATCCCGGCCCCGAGGCCGCTCCCTGTGGGCAAACACCGCGCGGGGGCTCCTGGATGTCCCTTCCCCGCCTCCGGATCCCGGGAATTTCCCCGGAGCCCTGCACGCAGCTCTCTGCTTCCCTCTCCGCCGCTAAAACAGGGATTAGGGGGAGGACAAGGGCCAGGAGAGGCTGGAATCTCGCCGGGGGCTCGGGATGCACCGGCCCGGCTTGAGGGAGCCAAGATCTCGCTCCGGTGATGGATCCCAAAATCCCAGCGGGAATTCCGCGCAGCCGCCCGGCTCCGAGGGCAGGCCCTGCCCGCTCCTCTCGGGAGGAAATTTGGGAAGAGGCTGCTCGGGATGCTCCGACAGCCACCGCACATCCTGGCAGCGGGGAGAACCCTCGGATGGCAGCCGGGATGGGATCGGGATCCGGGACTTTGCTGGGAATGCCAGGATTTCATGGAAAACCGGCGGATTCTGCTCCCGGAGCCCTCCCCGGCAGCTCCGGCCCTTCCCAAATCCCAGCGTTTGATTTGGGGTGGTTCTGGTGGATTCTCCCTGGCTCTGACATTCCCAAACCCAATCCCGGGAACATCCCGGCCCCGGGGAACAGCGCGGTGCGAGCGGGAGAGCGGCGGCTCCAAATCCCCATCCCACATTTCCCGCAGCTCCAGGGAAATCAGGGACAATCCCGCCCTTGGGAAGAGGAACCAGGCTGGGAACATGGAGGGGTTGGGGTTTGGAGGGTCTGGGGTTTGGGGTTTGGAGGGTTTGGGGTTTGGGGTTTGGAGGGTTTGGGGTTTGGGGTTTGGAGGGTTTGGGGTTTGGGGTTTGGAGGGTTTGGGGTTTGGGGTTTGGAGGGTTTGGGGTTTGGGGTTTGGAGGGTTTGGGGTTTGGGGTTTGGAGGGTTTGGAGTTCGGAGGGTTTGGGGTTTGGGATTTGGAGGGTTTGGGGTTTGGGATTTGGGGGTTGGAGGGTTTGGAGTTCGGAGGGTTTGGGGTTTGGGATTTGGGGTTTGGAGGGTTTGGGGTTTGGGATTTGGGGTTTGGAGGGTTTGGAGTTCGGAGGGTTTGGGGTTTGGGATTTGGGGTTTGGAGGGTTTGGGGTTTGGGATTTGGGGTTTGGAGGGTTTGGAGTTTGGGGTTTGGAGGGTTTGGGATTTGGGGTTTGGAGTTCGGAGGGTTTGGGGTTTGGGATTTGGGGTTTGGAGGGTTTGGGGTTTGGGGTTTGGAGGGTTTGGGGTCTGGAGGGTTTGGGATTTGGAGGGTTTGGGGTTTGGAGGATTTGGGGTTTGTGGTTTGGAGGGTTTGGAGTCTGGGACTTGGGATTTGGAGGATTTGGGGTTTGGAGGATTTGGAGTTTGGAGGGTTTGGGCTTCAGAGGCTTTGGGATTTGGGACTTGGAGGGTTTGGTATTTGGGGTTTGGGATTTGGAGGGTTTTGGGTCTGGGATTTGAGATTTGGAGGATTTGGAGTTTGGAGGATTTGGGGTTTGGAGGGTTTGGGGTTTTGGATTTGGGGTTTGGAGGATTTGGGGTTTGGAGTTTGGGATTTGGGGTTCAGAGGGTTTGGAGGGTTTGGGATTTGGAGGGTTTGGGATTTGGGGTTTGGGATTTGGGATTTGGAGGATTTGGGATTTGAAGGGTTTGGGATTTGGGATTTGGGGTTTTGGAGGGTTTGGGATTTGGGGTTTGGAGTTTGGGATTTGGGGCTTGGAGGATTTGGGGTTTGGAGGGTTTGGGATTTGGGGTTTGGGATTTGGGGTTTTGGAGCCCCCCAAAGCCCTTGCCGCGATTCCTTTCCCCTTGGATCCATGGCTGCATTCCCAGCGCTGGAATTCCCGAGGGATGCGGAGCCAGGAGATCCCACCCGGAGCCCCGGGGTGGGAGAGGGGCCGGGAAAGCAGGAAAAAGAGTGGGATAAAAATGGGAAATAAAGCAAAATGAAAAAGGGAAATAAAGCGAAATAAAAAGGGAAGCGGAACAAAATAAAAAAGGGAAGTGGAGCCAAATAAAGTGAAATAAAAGAGAAACGGAACAAAATAAAAAGGCAAAATAAAGTGAAATAAAAGAGAAACGGAACAAAAAAAAGTGAAATAAAAAAATAATAATCATCAAAATGAATCGGAGTAAAAAAAGGGGGAAAATTCAAATAAAAAATCAAAATAAAGGAAAATAAAAAAGAGGAATGAAGTGGCAAAACGAACAAAGCAAAGGAAGAAAGAAAAATAAAGCACAATTAAAAAGTAGAAAAACAAAGTTAGGAAACAAAACTACAGCAAAAATAAAGATACCAAATGCAAAATAAAAAAAGTGAAAGTAATAAAAACCAAACAAAAGAAAGCAAAAATAGGGACGCAAAAGAGCAAAATAAAATGAAATTAAGTCAAATAAAGTGGAATAATAAAGAGAATTAAAGCGAAACAAAAAAGAAAAATAAAAACGCAGCATTAAAAAAGGCAACAGAATAAAGCGAAATGAAAGAAAAAATAAATAATAAAGCGAAATAAACGGGAATGAATGGGAATAGATAGGAATAAATGGGAATAGAGAGGAATAAATGGGAATGAATGGGAATGAATGGGAATAAATGGGAATAAATGGGAACGGCTCTGGAGCCGCCGGCTCCCGCCCCGCTCCGGGCAGGGCAGGAGGGGTCCCGGGAGCCCCCGGCGGCTCTTTGGGGGTCCGGGCGGCTCCGGGCCCTGCGGGGGTCCCGGTCCCTGATCCCGATCCCGTCCCATTCCAGGATCCCGATCCCGATCCCGATCCCGGAGCCGGTGCCTGACCTGAGCTCATGGCGCGGCCCCGCCGGAAGCGGCGGGCGCGGAACCGCGGGGGATGCCGGGAATTGGAGTTCTCACCCCAAAACCGGGGTGTGGTACCCGGGGGATGCCGGGAATTGGAGTTCTCACCCTAAAAATGGGGTGTGACACCCGGGGGATGCCGGGAATTGGAGTTTACACCCCAAAACCGGGGTGTGGCACCCCCAGGTGACCTCAGCAGGAGCAGCATCGCATTTCTGGGAGGTTTGAATTATTCAGACCAAAAATCATGAATTCATCAGCAAAGCTGAAGCAATTCCTTCCTCTCACCCCCAGGAGCTGCTCCAAACACCCCGAACTGGAGAAAGCTGAAAATATCAGGAAATAAAGGAAGATTCACCCCTAAAAAAAAAACCCCATTTTCTCAGGATTTGGAGTAAAACTCAGGAATCCAAAGCAGGATCCCACGGGGTGGGACAGGACGGATCCAAAACCCCGGATCTGCCCCCAGAGCTCCAAACCCTCAGCTCGGGGATTTCAGCCTCCAGATCCCTCCAGCATTCCCTGTTCCCAGCCACTCCCAGGATTCCCAGAGGTTTGGGCTGGTAAAACATTCCACGAAGGGAGTTAAGAAAGGGTTAATTAATAAACGATTAATTAATAAATGATTAATAAAGGACGCAGCCCGAGCTGTTCTTTAGAGCCTTTATTGCAAGTAACGCCCTGCTGGAGCTGTCCGGCTGTGAGGTCACTGGGGTCACTGGGGTCACTCCAGGGTCACTCCGGGGTTACTCCGGGGTTACTCCGGGGTCATGCAGCCGCTGCCTTCTGCTTGTAGGTCGCCATCATCTTCTTGATCTCGGCGATGGCTTTGCCGGGGTTCAGCCCCTGCGGGAGGGGACGGTCAGCGCCCTGGGGGGACCCAGCCCCAAAACTGCTGGCACTGACCCCCAGAACTGCTGGCAGTGACCCCCAAAACTGCTGGCACTGACCCCCAAAACTGCTGGCACTGCCCCTCACTCCCACCCCAAAGCTCCCCCAAATCCCTCCCCGTGAGCGTGGGGAGAACCTGGAATGGGATTCCCAGAGAAGCTGTGGCTGCCCCTGGATGCCAGGACTGGATGGAGCAACCTGGGCCTGTCCCCTTCTGGTGTCCCAGCCCTGCCACCGTCACCTGTCCCCTCCCTGTGTCCCCCCAGTGTCCCCTCCATGTCCCCGGTGTCCCCCCATGTCCCAGCCGTACCTTGGGGCAGGTGCGGGTGCAGTTCATGATGGTGTGGCAGCGGTAGAGCGAGAACGGATCCTGCAGCTGCGCCAGCCGCTCCTCCGTGAAGTCATCGCGGGAGTCGATCATCCAGCGGTACGCCTGGGGACAGTGACACCGCCGGTACCGCTGGTACCGCTGGTACAGCCAGCACTGACACTGCTGGCACTGCTGGTACCGCTGGTACCGCCCGGTACAGCCAGCACTGACACCGCTGGTACCGCTGGTACCGCTGGTACCGCTGGTACAGCCAGCACTGACACTGCTGACACTGCTGGTACTGCTGGTACCGCTGGTACAGCCAGCACTGACACTGCTGACACTGCTGGTACTGCTGGTACCGCTGGTACAGCCAGCACTGACACTGCTGACACCGCTGGTACCGCCCGGTACAGCCTGGTACAGCCAGCACTGACACTGCTGACACTGCTGGTACTTCTGGTACCGCCCGGTACCGCCTGGTACAGCCAGCACTGACACTGCTGGCACTGCTGGTACCGCTGGTACAGCCAGCACTGACACTGCTGGTACCGCTGGCACTGCCCGGTACCGCCCGGTACAGCCAGCACTGACACTGCTGGCACTGCTGGTACCGCTGGTACAGCCAGCACTGACACCACTGGTACCACTGACACCGCTGGTACCGCCCAGTACAGCCTGGTACAGCCAGCACTGACACTGCTGGTACCGCTGGCACTGCCCGGTACCGCCCGGTACAGCCAGCACTGACACCGCTGGCACTGCCCGGTACCGCCCGGTACAGCCAGCACTGACACCGCTGGCACTGCCTGGTACCGCCCGGTACCGGCAGCACCGACACCCTGGCATTCAGATTTTGTGCCTCCAGACCCTGCTCAGTGCCCAGCTCCGAACCCCACGGCCTGTCAGCTGCTGCTCGCCCGTTTTATTCAGACAAAACAAACCCAAGGACACCTGACAGCCCCAGGCCCCGCAAAGGATCAACAAAATGAGTTATTAAAACTTTAATAAATTCATTACCTGGAGCTGTAATTGGGGGATTGACCCCCGATATGCAAATGGAGCAAGTTTATAATTGTCTGAAAAACCCGTGAGCATCGTCCACCTCGGGTGGAGCCTGGGAGGCTCCTGAGTGCCCCAGGGGTATCTGTGGGAGGCCTTTAATAAATACCCATCAATACCCAATTAAATACTAAAATAAAAATAAAAAATACCCATAAATACCGAATTAAATACTAAAATAAAAATACCCATAAATACCGAATTAAATACTAAAATAAAAGAAATACTAAAATAAATGCAGTTATTCTGTTGAGCTCACCCCACCTCTGTGCCAGGCCGGGTGCCAGGGGCTGTGTCCTCACCTGCATGAGCACGGCGGGGCCCAGGTACTTGTCACCGTTCCACCAGTAGCTGGGACAGCTGGTGCTGCAGCAGGCGCACAGGATGCACTCGTAGAGCCCGTCCTGCCACCACAGGGGACATGGTGACACGGTGACACGGTGACACGGGACCCACCCCTGGCACCCGCGGGACAGCCCTCCCAAAGCGGGAGCTGCTCCTCGACTCAGCGAGCCGGGAGCTGGGACAGCAGGGAAAGGCACGGCCTGGAGAGGAGGGGAAACTCCCAGGATCTCCTGAATCCCTGCCCCGGGATCTCTCCTGAATCCCTGCCCTGGGATCTCCTGAATCCCTGTTCTGGGATCTCTCCTGAATCCCTGCCCTGGGATCTCTCCTGAATCCCTGCCCTGGGATCTCTCCTGAATCCCTGCCCTGGGATCTCCTGAATCCCTGCCCCGGGATCTCTCCTGAATCCCTGTCCTGGGATCTCCTGAATCCCTGTTCTGGGATCTCCCGAATCCCTGCCCTGGGATCACCTGAATCCCTGCCCTGGGATCTCTCCTGAATCCCTGTTCTGGGATCTCCTGAATCCCTGTTCTGGGATCTCTCCTGAATCCCTGCCCTGGGATCTCTCCTGAATCCCTGTTCTGGGATCTCTCCTGAATCCCTGTCCTGGGATCTCTCCTGAATCCCTGTTCTGGGATCTCTCCTGAATCCCTGTCCTGGGATCTCCTGAATCCCTGCCTTGCTCCCAGCCCATCCCTGCCAGGACAGCACTCTGGGATCCTGTCCCACACTCCGGGATCGGGTGTGGGAATGGGAATGGGAGTGGGAAGGGGATTCTGCCCCACACTCTGGGATCCTGTCCCAGACTCCGGGATCGGGTCTGGGAATGGGAATGGGAGTGGGAAGGTGCTGAGGGCTCAGGGCTGCTCGGGGAGGGTTTCACCCAGGAATTGGCAGTGACCAGTTTCTGGCGGTCCTCGATGGACTGCAGGTACTGCTCCTTGCCCTCCTTGGACTCGTCCTTCTTCTTCAGGTAGGGCTCAATGGATTTGTACTGGGCGTAGAAGTTACTCAGGTCCTGGGGCAGGAAAACAGGGATCTGAGGAGAACCCAAAACACCCCAAACCCCTCCTTCCAGCCCCACCCCTCATCCCAACATCCCACCTAAACCACCCCAAATTTACACCCGGCCGGGAGGTGACGTTCCCTGCCCGGACCTGCCACATTCCGGGCCACCTTTAGTCACGGGGACCCACCCAAGGGACAGCCTTGTCTCGTTAGGGACTTTTGGATTTGGGTTCTTTTTCCCTTTGAACAGCCCAGGATTATTATTATTGTTATTATTTTTATTATTTTTATTATTATTTATTACTATTATTATTACTATTACTATTATTATTATTACTATTATTTTTTTTTTTTTTTAATTATTTTTATTATTATCCTGGGATTTGGGATCTGGCAGCAGACAGGGAACCGTGGGATGTCCTCAGCTGGAAGGGATCAGAGTCATCCCAATAATCCCACCCTGTCCAAAGGCTCCTGGCAGCCTCGGGGCCGTGCCCATTCCCTGGGGAGCCTGGCCAGTGCCAGCACCTCTGGGGGAAGCAGAACCTTTCCTGACCTCCATCCTAACCCCTCCATCCAGCTCCAGTTCCCAAGGGCTCCATCCCCGCTCCCAGAGCACAGACTGGAGCTCCCAAAGCTGTGATGGAGTGTCTCGTTTTGGATTTGGGTTCTTTTTCCCTTTGAACTGAAGACTGACCAGAGCGAGGCAGTTTTCTCTCGTTCGGTCTCAGTTGTTTATTTTTTCTTATCAGCATTACAAGGTACAAGGAGCTGTGTGCACTCTGATAGAAAAGGGTAAAATGGCCAACAAAGATCCTCTCCAAGGTCTTTTATCTGTCCATTTACCCAATTAACAGATGCCAACTCAATTATTTTTCTTAGTGACCCAATGACCCAACACCTGTGCGCTGCCCTGCGGCATTTTTTACCCAATCACTCACTACCACCCAAAAACCCCAAGGGGAAGAAGATGAAGAAGAAAGAGGAAGGACAAGAGACAACACCCTCAATCCTCCATCTTGTCTCCTGTTCTCTAAACTACTTTTTCACCCAGTGATTTAAGAAACTTTCTAATCTACACACACTTTTCCTATCTAACTTTAACATTTATTCTCATGTATCACCGTGAAAACATTCTCGTGAATTTGATGTCATACGAAATTCAGTGTTTTTCTGGATCCTAGAACCAAGCATTAGAAACAAGGGCGCACACTCTGCATCTCAGACTCCAACACCCCCTGTCCCTGCTGGCAGCTGCCAGGCCCCTGCCAGGGGCTGCACTCACCGGCACCAGGTCCTTCACCACGTACATGTGGGGCAGGGGGTAGATTTTGGTGACTTTGTTGAGGTCGCTGTCGATTTTCTTGATGCAGGCCAGGGTGTTGCCCCCGGCGATGTTCATGGCGCAGGAGCCGCAGATCCCTGAGGTGGGGGGGGGAGAAGCAGAGCAGAGGGTGGGATTCTCCCTCCTGGCCCCCCCCTCCCCAAAAAAACCCACAACAGCACTGGGGAAACGCCACTCGGTTCTTCCAGCATCCCAAAAAAATCCCATTTCCAATCCCAGGGTGGAATGGCTGGGATCCTCACCGCCCAAAGGGGAGAGGAGAGTGGGGACACAAAGGCAGGTGCACAGAGGGAGGGAGTGACACCTCTGGAGGTGGCCCCAGCCCCTCAAAAAGGGGTTTTCCAGGTGTTTCCTCCCAGGTGTTTTCCAGCCAGCTGGGAACGGCTGCAGAGCCGGGACCACGCGCCTGCGGCAGGAATGTGGCACCGGGGAAAGGGCAGGAGGGAACCAGCCCGGCCTGAAAATCTCTCTTGTCCTGGGAAAATATTCAGGGCAGTGAATTCCCCTGGATTGGGAAGAGTTTTGGCTGCCTGGGAGCCCCACTCCGTGTGGGATTCCTGCCCTGCTGTGCAGATTCCAGAGGAAAAGCTGCCTCGGGAGCGCAGCTCTCCGTTCCCATGCCAGACAGAACAGCTGCAGGCAGCACCTGCCCCGAGACTGCCCCTGCCTGCAGCCCCACCTCCTTATTCCAGAGCCATTCCAGCCAGGAATGAGCTCCCACAGCCCCAATCCAGAGCCATTCCAGCCAGGAATGTGCTCTGCCAGCTCAGCAGCCCGGTGTGACCCGTGAATCAGGAGGTTTTCCCAGGAAAAGCCTGGGAGCAGCCACAACCCCAAACCGTGGGTGCCCTTTCCCTCGATCTGCCCCTGCCCTCAGCCCAAAGGAGGAGATTCCTGGAGCTGTTCCTGGAAATCCTGAGCACTCTCCCAGTTCCAGCCAGTCTGATTCCCATGGCAGCACCCATTCCAGCACCCATTCCAGCCCTTGCCCTCTCTCAGCCTGGAATCTTCCCCTGGACCTCCCCACGCACTGGGAGGCGGCAGATGAGCTGGGAGGGGAACTGGGACAACTGGGAGCTGTGGGAGGAATTCCTGGAGCTCAGAGCTGTGCTCCAGCCTCGCTCCTGGCTGCACTGGGGCTGGGAGGGGAGGGGGCTCTGAGCTCCCTGGCACATTCCAGGCGGGAATTCCCTGTCCTTACCCTCCCTGCAGGACCTGCGGAAGGTCAGCGTGGAGTCCACCTCGTTCTTGATCTTGATCAGGGCATCGAGCACCATGGGCCCACACCTGCGGCACAAATCCCCAGTCAGCGGCAGGGATCCCCTGTGGGGTCAGCCCTGTGTGTCCCCGTGAGTCACAGGGACACTCGGGGACAACTCCTGTCCTTTGACACCCAGGGCACCACCCAGGGATTGTTCACTGGGACAAAGCCACCCCGAAACCGGAGCTGCTGCTCCTGCGGGCTTCGGGCAGGGTGGGAGCTCTGGGGTGGATCCCTCTGGAGGAGCTCCTGGGGATGGAGGAGCTCTGGAAGAGCTCCTGGGAAAGGTTTGGGATGGATCCCTCTGGAAGAGCTCCTGGGAAAGGTTTGGGATGGATCCCTCTGGAGGAGCTCCTGGGGATGGATCCTTCTGGAGGAGCTCCTGGGGATGGATCCCTCTGGAAAAGCTCCTGGGGATGGATTCCTCTGAAGGAGCTCCTGGGAAAGGTTTGGGATGGATCCCTCTGGAAAAGCTCCTGGGAAGGAAGGGTTTGGGATGGATCCCTCTGGAAAAGCTCCTGGGAAGGGTTTGGGATGGATCCCTCTGGAGGAGATCCTGGGAAAGGATCCCTCTGGAGGAGCTCCTGGGAAAGGTTTGGGATGGATCCCTCTGGAAAAGCTCCTGGGAAGGGTTTGGGGTGGATCCCTCTGGAGGAGCTCCTGGGAAGGAAGGGTTTGGGGTGGATCCCTCTGGAAGAGCTCCTGGGAAGGGTTTGGGATGGATCCCTCTGGAGGAGCTCCTGGGAAGGAAGGGTTTGGGATGGATCCCTCTGAAGGGGATCCTGGAAAGGGTTTGGGGTGGATCCCTCTGGAGGAGCTCCTGCGGATGGATCCCTCTGGAGGAGCTCCCGGAAAAGGTTTGGGGTGGATTGGTGTCCTGCTTTTTCCTGGGATAACAGCCACGGTGGCTGCTCAGTGCCAGAGGGGAGCAGCCCCTTCCCGGCCATTCCCTGGAGCCGGGATTGCTCCCGGGCCCCATTCCCGAGGGACACCCACTTGTTCAGGTCCACCTCGTAGGTCTGCATGCGGGGTTTGTCCCCAGCCTTGTCGGGGTCCCATCTGTAGATGGCGAATTTCTTCAGCCGCGGCGCCGCCGCCGCCGTCTGCGCCTCACGGAGCACCTGGATCCAGGGAAAAACAGCCTCAGATCCCACCTGGATCCAGGGAAAAACAGCCTCAGATCCCTCCTGGATCCAGGGAAAAACAGCCTCAGATCCCTCCTGGATCCAGAGAAAAACAGCCTCAGATCCCTCCTGGATCCAGGGAAAAACAGCCTCAGATCCCTCCTGGATCCAGGG